CCGAAATCCACCATGTCGTGAGAATGACCAATGTGGAAAGGCCTTTGTGCTGTTAAGTGCGGAACATATTGAAGGCGAGGCCCACTACGTGAGGAAGTCTATTCAGCGCGTTCGGCGCCGGGGAAGCGAACCGGCGCCTACTGGCAGCATCAAGTGGGCCGGCCCACAGACGGAGCGACTCGAACTCACGCAGCTAGGCAGCAGGACTTTTCAGCTAACCACTACAACATTGGATGACTAGTGATTCAAATCAAACGCGAACTTTATAAGAACATAAGAGCCCCGCCATTTATTGCACAAAATAATACAGTTTACTCTATAGCTTGTATTTTCGAATTTCTTAAATACTGTACGTTTTACTTTATAGCTTGAACAAAAGTTCATTGAATTTGAAAATAAGTTCTTCAAATTTAAAAAAAGTTCATTGAATTTGGAAAAAATTCATGGATTTTAAAAAGAGTTCTTCCCGTTTATGAAAAAAAGTTCAACGCATTTGAAAAAAGGTTCACAAACTTGAAAAAAAGTTCACAACTTTGAGAAAAAGTTCACAACTTTGAGAAAAAGTTCATCGGATTTGAGAAAAGTTCATTGAATTTAGAAAAAATTCATCGATTTTGAAAAGAGTTCATCCCGTTTTTGACAAAAAGTTCATTGCATTTGAAAAAGGTTCACAAATTTGAAAAAAAGGTCATCGAATTTGAAAAATAGGTTCACGAATTAAAAAAACGCGCACTGAATAAAACAAAGAAAGATGAGACAAAAAGAAAAAAGAAAAAGAATAAAAAAGAAACCAAACTGAAGAAAGAGTAAAAAGCAAAGAAAGAACTAACTAGTTCATTCTGGGCGGATGCCCTGGTTGCTACGGCGTGCAGTTGCAACGAAGAGGTCGCGGGTTCGACTCCCCGTCTCCTCACACCTTTTGCGTTTGCGTTTGAAAACCAGGAAAAAAGAACGGAACGGGCCGGCCCAACTAGAAGCTCCTGCAGGCGCCAGTTGGCGAACCGGCGCATAAGCGCCAAATAAGATTTGCATGGTCAAACAACACAACGAAAGCATGTCGTGCCAAATCTTTTTTTTAACACAGTACAGACGCAAAGCGCTCATATACACACACATACACTCACTCCTATGAACGCAGACACGCACACCCTATCCCTATGAGCACCTCTGAAAGACTGAACAGGCATATCATCTTGAAATTTATAAAGTCGCTGTAGGCACCTCGTCATCGACGTGAACATCTCCTCCCACTGAATGCGCATCGCGTGAAATCTTGAAATAAATCTAGGAATAAATGCGAACACCAGGACTTGAACCCTCGTGGGCTGGAGATACCACAGTCCCTCTAATCATCCAACTACAGGTTGGGTCGTGCCAAACCTATCATGAGTATAATTTTGCAATAATTTTTACTCATGATTAAACCTAATAATCTCAATTTTTCTGTGAGAATTACTTAATAACTAATGAATGCAAAAGATTGCAAATCTCTTTGTTTATTTTTGTCGCCTGCAGGGATGGACTATTTTCGGTGCAAAGTCAAGCTATACATGGAAGATAATAATCACAATGATCTTTTTTGCAGTAAAGTCACAGTGATCAATCCCAATTAATAGGAGGCACACAGTTTATTCCAGAGGAGAAGATGATGCCTGGTATGACTGTGAGCACTAGTACCAGTGGTTGTACCTGTGACATCGACATCTTCTATGAAGACACCTAAAGTCAATTCGCACCGAAGGTGCACAGAAACCATATTCTGCCCACCGGCAGTACATAATGGCGAGAAAACCCTTCATCGAGAAGAGTCGCTCGTCCAACAAGCCATCCCTTCATGGTCGCCGTCAACATTCCCATCTACAATAGTAGTCGCCATTTCCATAGCCATCTCCATTAGCCACAATACTTGTAATCAGGAATACATAGCAATCGTAAGGCGTGTAAGCATTCCTGTTAAAGTACCACTTTCTACCATGTCTCTTATTTGTGATTCATCTGCGACGTGTGAGTATTCCCCTCACAATAAGGGCTGAGGCGTAGACACACAGCCCTATGTACTTGTGCTAAGTGATTTTTTATTTACTTTGAAAATAACGTTATTCGATGTGTTACACAACAGTTTTTGTCTCCTGTCTCTATCTACTTCTAAGGCCCCGTCGGTACCTGAGACACCGAGGATCGATCAAGGAGAGGTTCAGTGTAGAGAGAAGGAGAAGGCTATGCCAAACTTCGCTAACAATAAGATTAGTACGGTAGTTTTATCTTTTTCTCTGGGGTACGTAAAGTGCAACCATTAAACATTCAATGCGTTAGTCTGGTTAATCTCTTAATAACAAATGTAACCCCATGATACGGTAAGGACCTTGGTTAGACTGTAGAACCTCGATGGCGGCAACAGTTGGTGGGGGGTTATTTGGACGCGTCTCCCACAAACGACGTGTTCAAAACAGATAAGTAACAATGTTAACTAGTCCCATATGTTGAAATATCTAGGTAGGATATCGAGCGCATGCATACAATTGCAAGGAAAACCTCTAGCCATGGCCTATTTACTTATTATTGTTTCTTCCTATAAACTATGTGATTTGATAACAAGCTCTTGTAGAAATTACCTTCCCAAGACATGAATTATCGTGGTTTGATAACCTAGGTCTAGGTTAGGGAGAAACGGAACTATTCACATCTTAAACCAGATCGAAGGTAATCAATCATTTTTCCTGTGCTTGCCGATGAAGATTAATTGTTATCCTCGTAAGGTGACTAGATTCTTTGTTTTATTCTATTTTCAATTTTTAGTCTATTTTCGTCCTGAGGTTATTTGTCAAATGTTTATAAGAACTTCATTTTTTTATTATGGCTACCAAAAAGTTTTGGGAGTTTGCAACTCCCAATGAAGATTTTATGCGTGCACCAACAGAAATGTTGCTTAGAACCATGGTCCTGCCGCACCTTTGCTCAGCGCCACACATCTCACGTTAGCTTCTAAGTGGATCTATGCATGGCGGGTTCAATAGAGCATGGCGGGAATGATCAAGAGATGGGTTACAAGGCCTACGCACGCTAATAAACCTACTGAATGCTAGTAAAATAGGGAATAAATTAGTGCACTTGCCTGGGATGTCTCCCATGCACCTGCTCCATTCACAATTGTTTAATGCCTCACTACGCGGGGCAGCTACCAATGAGGATTTCGACATTGAAAATAATTCTGGTACTACTGCCATATATGGGTATAAATATTTCTACCGTGTGCTAGTTCTCTTTATAACATCAGTTATCCTTGGAAAGCCAGAATGGACTATACCACACGGTATATTATTTGGTTCATCTTCTTTCTTATAGAAGTGTGGCTTCTCTTTTGGCGTGCTACGCATTTGAATCTGTTGAGAAAAGGATTATTGCATTGTTTGGTGCCAGAATTGCATGTCTGCATGTCAAGACATGCCAACATCTAACATATAAAGCCTGCTAGGGTACCCGCCCATCCGGAGGCCTTCGCGCGTGCGCAATGGTCGGCCGTTCGATCAACTCGCTCGATCGTTTTTCACCCTCGATTTTTACTGTTCACTGCTATCTTTTGTTACTCTTTGACTGATTTACTGGGTGAATGCCACTGGGTCCATAAAATCGGTGGTCCACGCGGCAGCGAAGTGTTCGTCGACTCGGACGGTGACCAATGAAGACGCCCGTGAAAAAACCTAGATCGAGCAGTCAAAGGGATCACGTCCTCCTCGTTCCTTCCACTCCCTCGCCTCCTCCTTCCTCCCCATCCAGCGG